ATAGCAGTTTTTTAACATCATAAATAGATTGCACCCCTGGTACATTCTCTAAATGAACCTGAAACAAAGGCATAGGAGCCTTAGATTTGGTTCTGTGCATTTGGGTAACTTTTCGAGGTTTATACTTTAAATTAACCAGCTCCTCAAAAATGTCATCTGAGGGGCAATCGATAGGTAAACCTCTTATAACTATTTTGATGGGCCTATCCATCTTTCTGGTAATTAAATAATGATCTACACTTTTTTCATCCAAATATTTTGTTATCTGACGGTGATCATTTTCCGTTTTCGGAAATACTTTTAAAAACTCGCCAGTAACTTTAGCTGCAAAGTCTAAATTAGTTTCAGCCCTCAATTTTTTAGAGAAATCCGAAAATTTAATTGGAGGCTTCACCATTATCGGTTTCACCTTCGGTTGTTGAATTTCAGTAACCTAGCAGAATTGCTTGTTTTTACATAGAATATCTAATTGTAATTGTAAAAATTATTTTTTTAACTATCTATTCTTAGCTGTATTTGGTGTTTTAGGTTTCTTTTTGTATTTTACAATTTTTAATGAAGATGATTTGAGTTTTTATGTATTTCTGACTTGCTGTGAAGTGAGAACTGAATTGATTGAATCAAAATGTATCTCAAATGAAATTCAAGGAAACAAGTTTAAATGAACCGCAGCAAAAAATGTGTATAATTAAGTAGGCCATACAGGGAAGTCATATGATGTCCACATCAGATGTTTTAATTTTTAATCTGGGCTTCTCATTGCATACCAATTTTGCTAGAATTTTTTTAAAAATCAGCTTTTATTCTCATTTCCTACAGCAAGTGATTTAGTCATCTTATAGCATAGTGTCGCTGTCAATTTTATTTTTAAGTCTTTGTTTTGGAGGAGTGCCTTTTTAATTTTTAAACATATTATTTTGCTTTGCAAAACTTTAAAAACAAGACTGGCTTTAATATATATTTTATCTTTTGGTTGAAAGTTTGTATATAAATTTTCAAATTATCATATTTATTCAGTTACCATCAGAAGATGCATTAGTTTAGCTTCAGGCTAATTAATTAAAATGTTATGCCTAAAAAAATTTTTTTGAACTAGTTGCACATAAACTTTGAAGTCTCTTATTCCAAGATTATGGCAACTTTTGTAAACTTTTCATTAACTCCGGCGAAGGCAAAGTAATAAAGGTCCACTTAAAGAGATATTTCTTGTAAGTGCAGAATAAATCCAATTAAAAATAACTAACTATTATTTATCTTCAGTTTTTTGGGGGCATGATTTTGTTTTGTTTGTTTGTTTAATTCATTGCTGTTGCAAGAAGTTTTTCTGTTTTTTCTTTGTTGTTGAGCAATTCTCCAATTGTGCTTTTTCAGTATGTGTTCTGTACACTGGCTGTATAATTTTCCATAGTGTGTATATATTTGTTAATCTTCCCTGTTCAAAGCTTTAAACAGAACTTCTCAAGGGAAAAGTGCTTAAAGTTTTCAACCAAGTTGATTAACTAAGAGCATGCAAACACGTTCATCTAGCTAACCCATTGAGACTCCAAACGATATTAATCAAAATATATTTTCCCTTCAAACTAAAACTAACAAAAGTCTCACTGGATTTTCCTCTTTTTTCCGATGTGTTTGCATGTCTTAAATCACTCAAAGTTTAGAAATGTAAACAAACAAAGTAGTACGAGAACACTAAAATAATTAAATCAAACACAATTAAAAAAATCAAATACAATGCCACCTAGTAAGGCTAATGTACAAATAAAAGTATTCAGGAATTTTCAGATATAAAGAATAAGTCATATTTAAATATAAAATTAAGGGTAGGCCCAGTTGTGTAAAATTAAAACAAGGAAAAACTTTTGCCAAGGAAAAACCTGCACAGAGAAGTCCTGTTAAGATTAAGAGGAGGACCTTTTTGCTCAAAATGTAAAAAGGTGAAGAAATAAAGTAAAATGAGAAAACATACCTGTGTCTGATTCAAACTCTGGCTAAAATTAAACTGAGCAAAAATCATACAAAAAAAGGTTGCCATAATGTGAAGGAAACTCAAGGAGTGCTCCCAGAACTCAAGTCAATTTCCACCTATTGTAGGACTTTCCTAAAAAGAAGCAAGTCTTCGTAATCTTGTCGTTAGCCAATGGAGGTGTCCGGGAAAAAAAGGGAGGAAAACACTGGGGGAGTCTAGTGCAAGATGGCATCATTTTTAAAAGCTGTTAGTACTCTTAGCAAATTAACAAAACAAAATGGTGAAAATTCAAAGTAAAAGCTCTGTTGGCCAAAAGTCAGGTGAAATGGAAAAAAAGGAGAAAAATGTTAGTAAAAGTCGTCAGGTTTCACGCAATCGGGCTTCAGAGCGACTGTGGGAAATTAGAAGGAGGCCCTTAAAATTATTAACAGAAAGAGTTAATGAGTAAATCATAATATTATTTAGTAAAAATACTCTGATCTTAAAAGCTAAATTCTCTAAGAGTAAAGAGAATTTAGAGAACTCACTTTACATTTTTACATTAGATTAACTATTTTAGTCATCCACTAGCTACCTTCCTTGCGGGTTTGGATAAAAAATTTCATGTCATTAAAACAAGTAATTTAAAACATCAGGTTAATGCCAGCTTTTATTAAGGAATGTATAATTATTTTGGGGAAATGTGATTTTCCTGCAGGATATTAATGAAGTAATGAATTTCTTCTTGGAGAAGGTTAGTATTATTACAGATTCTTTTTATTCTAAGAAGTTGGGAATTAATAGTATTAACAATGACTCTTTTTGAAATGTTCCAATTGGTGAGTTTTAGCATGTGAAACTTGAACTCTTTGCATTTTATCATAAATTTTTAAAATTTTGTAATTAATAATATGAAGATCAAGGTAGACTATGTCATTTTGCTGTGTGTTAGTAGCGTTAAGGCTAGTAGGATAAGTATTTGTGTGTTCTATTTTGTTATAGTTATTAAAAGCTATTATGTCATCAATATACCTGTAAACATGCTTAAAATATTTACGCTGTCCTAGATCTAGTGACTGCTGAAATTTAAATTATAGTGTTGAAAGGAATAATGCACAGTCCACTAGGACCCATAGGTATTCCTTGTACTTGTTTAATTTTTTTTTATCAACTTGTAGATAATTGTTAAATAAGACACTGTTTAGGAAAAGTTTCCATTTTTCTCTTGAGACTATTGTAAGAATTTGCAAAAACATTTCAGGGACTGTAAGTAGGCTATTGTAAATATCTTCTAAAGGCAAAGTGGTGAAAAGATTTTAATAAACTTGGTTGAAAGCTTCAAGCACTTTTCCCTTGACAATTTCTGTTTGAAGCTTTTGAACAGGGAAGATTAACAATCATATTTTTGTGCACGTTTTCAATTTTTCTGTAGATTAGATAGGTTTGATCACTTTTTTTAAATTTGCTCTATCACTTATTTTACATGGAGTTTAAGAATTTGATAGGATACACAAAAGTTTTATGACTTTTACTAGGTTTCTAACCTTCTTTCTTATTTATCTTCAATTTTAAAAATCAGCAGCTAAAAGCACTATTTTTGATCTACTAGGCTATTTGATTTTTAATCCCTTTTACTACTTTTTACTTATATATATAGTGTAAAAAGAGGGTAAAAAGAATATTCTTCATACTTTTGCTTTAAAGCAGATGTGATACTATGGTTTCAGTGAATAACTTTAACAATAAGTAAAAATAAATTGCAATTAAAAGTGTAAATACAAGATAAATGAAATTATCACAAGAATACAGTACAAAGTCTCTAATTCGGACGTCCATTATCCGGAATGATCTATAATCCGGACCTCAAAGCCACAAACTTACGCACGTGCGTGTCCGCTACGCATGCACATAAAGCCAGTAAAGCGTTCACCCATGCACGCTTCTGATAGTGAAGAAAGTAACAGAGGACGTTATTGAAAACGCAAAAATTTTTATTGACAAGTTAGCGAATTTAAAAGTCAAATCAAATTGAAAGTAAAATGTTGATTAATATTAAAACTATCCTAAAACATATGAATAGAAACACAAAAGTTATTCAAGATATAAGCAAAATTACAAAGATACAAAGAAGCGGTAAATGGTAAATTAGCCTAATTCGAATCTCAATATGGACTCTTCAGGGAAAATGCACAATGGTTTCGAATCCAGCCAATCCCATATCGCGTTTCGTCAAAACAGAAGAATCGAGACTGTACACGAAACTTTTTTGATTATTTAATTGACAAAATAACCTAGATAAAAATTTAAAATTTAAGTCTCAATTTCTCTGCTTCATTTCCTGACGTGTCCGTAAATGAAAAACACATTAATGGTGTAAGAAAAAACTATACAAACTAGCCTGGTTAAGCAAATGCACAAAATAAAATAAATAGCGAATTGCTATTATTCAATTAATACAAGATTTTTAGAAAGGACCTACTAGCTTAAAGAGTTTAAAATTTGTAAAAAAGGGAAAAAAGCCATGTCTTAAAAATGGGCGTTTGCCTCCAGAAAAGATAAGAATAAAGCTCACCAACAAGGTGGAATGACGTAAAAGGGGAAGAAACTTCATGAAGCTACAGCCAATGAAACGTGGCTTAGACAATGTGATATATATATATTTGTATATGGAAGTCTTTTGAGTTTAGATATTATGGATGAATAATCAATCAGGATAAGGATCAAACCACCTAAATTCAATGCCAAAAATTCTTTCTTTCCTTGAGTTTCCATATTATACAAAAAGAACACTTTTCATTGCTACATGTTCAAATGTCTGTGTTTCATTTATTAATATTTGTAGATGTTAACTTTTGCTGTAATGGGATCAAATTAGCTCATGTTAGTAGGTTGTATGTGATAGGTTCAGTGCACGTGAAAGGTTTTGATGTCAGAATTTCTTATAGGTGCCTAAAGTTTAAATAAGTTTTAAATTTCAATCCAAAAGATATTTTAGTTTTTAGACTGTTGACTTGAAAAATAACTTTACTGTAATATTTTTACTCCCTCCTTCTAGATCCCCTCTCTTATTTATGTGCCTTCACATCTTATGGCATTATTTACTGTAGGAATTTCTTCAGCATTGGTAATGGATGTGGGCTATTCTGAAACAATTACACTCCCAGTATCCTTTGTTATTTTGATAACACATATTACGTGCTATATTTTATCTGTACTGAATTTTATAAGTAATTTTCAATTCTATATTATTTTAATTCAAGTGAAATAGACAGAAGAACTGATATTAATAGTTTAAAAAGAAATGTATTGTGCTTTTAGTAAATAAGTTTGATGAATTTTACTCAGACTTACATGAAAGCTGTTATTAAATTAAAAGTGAAACACATTCTTACCATTTGAAAATAATTGAAACAAAATATGTTTTAGAGAAACATATTTTGTTTCAATTAATTTCAAATGGTAAGAAGTTTGTAGAAACTGGAGCCTTAGAAAGCATGTGCTTATCATAATCAATATTAAGTGGTTCTATTCAGTTAGTTGCTTCTAGTTGTATGCTTCATGGCACATTTTTTTTTTTTTTTTTTTTTTTCCATTTCTGAATTTATTGAATTTTAGAGCAGTGCTTTTAGTAACCTTTAATAATTACATGATATTTGAAATTGCTTCTACTTTTAAGTTATGATTTTTAGTTGTATGATGTATTTTTATATTTCAGTTATTATTGTTTTATAGGCAATTAATTGTATAGCTTTTTGACTAAGTGTGATGTATTTTTGTTTGTCTCTATTTCTATTTGTAATATTGTCAGTGTTTTCTAAATATACTAGTTTAATAACTTTGATTCACATATGATCAGTGCTTAAATTGTGCCGGAGCCCGGCTCCAGTGCTTCTCAATTTAAGATAAATTATAATTTTAGCCAGATCGCACCGGAGCCCTAAATAAGATGAGCTCCGGTACTTCTTTTTATAAAACTGAACCACAATTTAAAAGAGAGAGAGAAAAAAAAAAAATCAAAAGGAGCGTTTTAGTTTAACAATAAGCAGACCTTGCAATACTCTATTTCCCTAGAAATACGAACTCATGAGGACATGAGACGTTCAAGTAAAGTCCCACCACTCATATGCAGAAACCTTTCCCCTTAAGAAGGGCAATAAATTTGGGGGAGTTTGTTTTGGAGGGTGTAAATTTCTTGCCATGCCATCGTATCTAGTGTATTGTTATCCATGCTTACAGTTAGTTATTCTCGCAGGGAGGAAAATTTATGTTCTTAAATGTGTGTTAAGTGACAGCGAGTACAATAAGAATGAAATACTGAGATAAACTGCTCAAGCACATCCTATACATCGTCTTTCCACAATAACCACTAATGGGGGGGGAAGTGTAACCAGCAACTCTATACATTCATCCTTAGTCAAATTCAGGATTCATTTTACCCCTGACATGCATATGCTTGATGGCTATAGTTATATCAGCTGAGGGTCAAAGAGAACATTCTCTCTCACCAAGATTCCCCTCATTTTTGTTTCCACCCACTCATACCCTCATTCTGTTTCACCCTGGAATTTTCATCTGCTATGCTTTAAGTATATTTAATTTTTGTGATGATAAAGCCTATCCCCTACGATCAGAGCTTAAATTGGGCCGGAGCCCACCGGATTTTGGCTCCGGTGCTTCTTAATTTTTCTAATAAATCATAATTCTAACTGGAACGCACCGACGCCCTGAGTAAGAAGGCTGTGGCACTTCTTTTATGTAATTGAATAACAATTTCAATAGAAATTTTATCTCGAAAATTTTATTTTAACAATAAATTTATATTAAAAATCACATATTAAATTTCAATTTACCTCTTTACATTTTATTTAGTTTCAATTATTATTATTTAATACTACTTCAATCTTTAATTATTTCAATACATAATAATTAATTATCTAATAATTATCAATTAAATTATAATTAATTAATCATATAATAATTATTGATTAAATAACAATTTATAAACATTAATTAATTAACTATTTAATTTTTAAATTATTGATGAGTTTAATAGTCATTTATTTATTTGTTTACTCTTGTTCCTCTTTGCTGGGTCTTCCATAGGGCTCTGTCACTTCTCATCTTAGAAATTAAGCTCTGCATATGATGTTCCAGTAATATAAGTAATTTACTCAAATGCATATTAGAAATTTTGTAGTTGTTCTAATGGTTTCAAACAATGTAATCTTGTATGTATGTAATTATGTAATGAGATTTGCTACTAAGTATTGATAAATTGATAGAATAGAACCGATTTTTTATCATCTACATCAGACTGCCAATAATTTCTTACTGAATTTTAGCTTGATGATTACAGTAAGGTCTACTGAGAAATATCATAAAGCATTTTAGAGGTTACATATTTGTGAAATATAAAAATTCAGGTGTGCCTTCGCCAAGTTTCAAATCACCAATTTTCCATTTGCCAACTTTACATGCTAACGGCTTATAGCATTACAAGTAATGTAATTACTTACATCATCCCCAACTTAAAAAGACAACTGAAGAGAGGCATCAAACCTAATAACAAAATCCTGGTTGAGATAAATTATTGTCTGTCACATTTTAGTTTGACAGCCATTGTAAAGACTGTCAGCATTTTAGATGAAAAAACGAATTGTATCCTTGCTGGAACTCAAATTACGGATTTTCTAGTGCTAGCTGGATGGGTTAACCAAACATATGTGGAAGAATTCAATAATTCCTTGTATTTTCTCTGGCTAAAAGTTGACTGAGAAAAGGCACAAGACTGAATCTATTAAATCTGTGTGGTAGCAAAATATTGTCTCCCAACATTTTAGTTCTGTTGCCTTTTTTTTGAGATTTTTTAAAACCAAGAAGTATGATAAACCAAAAGTTAACTTATGAAAATTATATAAACCTCAGATCTTCCAACTGGCAGTTAGATGTGTTAACCACTTATATCATGAAAGCATAGGTGGGAGAATGCAATAATTTAACACAATATAATTCATTAGCTGTCACGTAAATAGTAGTTAGGCTATTATTCATGCCACCATAATAAAATCATCTTTATAGTTGCATATATTTTGCCTAATGTATGTTTCTATTTCACAAGCATTCTTTTGATTAGAAAGAAGCAAAAACAGAAACTGTTATACATGTACTTGTTAGTATGGTTCTTGATTATTGAACATATTGATATTGAAGAATTCTTTCCAGAATGATCACTTGTATCTTTTTTTAGTTGAATAATTAAGTAGTACTGCAAAAAATGTTGTTAGTGTCAGTTTTTTCTATACATATTCTATAGCTAAGTTTGATATTCTTCATAATAACTTCTGTTATCTTTCAAATTATAATTGCAAATAAATCATAAATTTAAAAAATATGTATTTTGAAAAAGTAAATAGCATTTAAATGTTTTAAAAATTAGATTCATTATTATTTCTTTTTCCAAAGAATTGAAATACGAACTTTTCTTTAACTTGTATTATATATATGCTGGTGTTCCTATTCTTAGTGCATGTGAAAATATTCCTCTTGGAGGTCAGGTAATTCATAGGTAAATAATTTGCCAAGCATTTTGAAATAGTTTCATGTTGGATTTATCGCAGTCAAAATATAGGTCTAAGAATATTTAACCCGATTATATATTTTTATACACATATAAAAAATGGATGATTTTTCATTTTAGTTGATAGATTAGGAAGTTCATTTCAATAAAATTAGTACATACTCATATCATTTTGAAAGAACTCTGGAATTTTTTTAAAAAATATGTATGGCAGATTTGCTGTAAACAAAGGTTTACATAGGTAATTTGAAAACTCTTAAAGACCCAGGAGAGAACATAACTCATGTTATTTAGGAAATTCTATGTGTGACATTGTGATAGATGACCCCCAGCATGTTCTGCCTTGCACATTTTTGCTCCCAACAACGGGACAAGGTTTTTGTTATTTATTGTAATATTATGATATTAAGCTCAAACATTGTGCTGGTAAGTAATCTTTAACCCTTTTGTAGTTACGAGATTAAGCAATTCTTTCTGCCGAAATACATGCAATGCCTGTCAGTCAATGTAATTTGTAATACTAGCTGGCTCCTTTGCACCCACTGCAGTGGGTAAGTGGAATGCAAGCTGAGCTCATTGCTGTCCATTAAAAGGATAATACTTAATGTAGAGAAGTACAAGATATTTAGTAGTGAGTAAATAGATTAACAAGATATATTAAAATAGGGTGTAAAGTATCCTTCACAATATTATACATATAATTTTCAAAATTGGATTAATTTTTTCCCCTAGCGCTTCCAGAATTCAAGATTTTATTCTTGATTAAGTTATGTCATCTAGGCAACCTTGCAGAAAAAGCCTAATGTTGATGGCCTGGAAATCGAGAACTGAGTTTTTCAGTCTTTTGCTCACAATGAATTCCACATCAAATTGGTCATATTTGTCGTGACAAATGCAGTACCTCCCACATTCCTTCTTATCAATGCTCCAGCTACCTCATTTCCTATATTGTGAGGACACCAGTACCGTAGTTAATTCCGGCATCTATTAATATTTTCAGTGCACCACCTTTAAACAAGGTGCGTATATTCCAAGTACCAATTCTCAGCTCCTTTCCGAGTTGTCTGGGTAGAGTGAAGCAGGTTCTTGCACTTTGTTGAGGTTTTTTAATTTAATATTTTTTTACAATCTAAGGGAGTTGGCCGTATGCCCAGTCCCCCAAACTGGAGGGCCAGTCTCTTGATATAATGCCAAGAGGCAAGGTGCTTGGCTATACCTCCGGATGCTGGGTACTCAGTTGCCTTTTATGGCATGCATGAGCTTTATTGGGACTATTTTATTCACACCCAGTCACCATACAGGTGAGTATATTTACAGCGTAACTAAACTAATCATTTGAGGAGAAGGTTAGATTGGGATCATTTTTTTCTCGATAACATAATATTGTCAACTTTAAAATAATTACAGTTTATAAACTTTTTTGCATTTAGCAGTGCATAGCAGTAACTATGAAAGTTTACCATATTTACAGGGGTTGGATAAAAATATGGAAACACCTTTAAAAAGACATGTTTCTTTGCTTAATATGGTGTAGGAAACCCGTTGGCATCCAAAACAGCTTGCAGTCTTCTCGGAATGGATAAATACAGTTCCTGTATGTTTGCCAAGGGACTATTATACCATTCTTCCTGCAAAACGGTGGCAAGTTCAGATAACGATGTTGTCAGTGGATAACGAGAACGCACTTTCCATTCCAATATAGACCACAAAGGTTCGATAATATTCAGGTCTAATGACTGCGGTGGCTAGGAAAGATGGGACAACTCATCCTCGTGCTCAGAAAACCAGTCCTGGACAATGTGAGCTGTGTGAACAGGGGCTTTGTCGTCTTGAAAGACACCATCGCCATCGGGGAACAAAGTTTGTACCATGGGATGAACTTGATCGGCCAAAATGTTCACATAAGTCTTGGCAGTCATGTGCCCTGACACAGTTATCATGGGGCTAGCAGAGAACCACGATATGGCTGCTCAAACCATAACAGAACGCCCGCCATGTTTCACTCTTGGCAACAAGCAGTCTGTATTATAGGCTTGAGATGGCGTTCTCCAGGCGTAAACTAGGCCAGAAGTGGGAAACAATGTGAAAGAAGACTCGTCAGACCATATTACTCGCTTCCACTGCTCTATAGTCCATTCTTTATGACTTAAACACCACCTTTTCCTGTTACGGGCATTAGCATCACTGATGAGTGGCTTCTCAATTGCAGCACGGCCAGCAATTCCCTGTTTATGAAGCTCCCTTCTAATTGTCGTGGTACTCACAGGGTTCGGTAACACAATATTCATTTCAGCAGTAACTTTTGCAGCTGTGGTCTTCTTATTTTTTGTCACAATTGCCGTCAATGATCGTCTGTCACGATCACTCAGGACACACTTTCGTCCGCGCAGTGATTTAGCAGATGATGTTTTTCCGCTTTTCAAATATGTGGAATAAATCTTCGATACAGTACCTCTTGAAACACTAAACACCTCGGCTACCTTGCTTACGAAAGCACCTACCATACGTGCTCCAACAATTTGCGCACGTTTGAAGTCTGTTAACTCTGACATAATGCAATGACAACCTCACATAACAGTACTCCGACAACAACTGAACTGTTTAGCACATTTACGAAGTTGTATAGGTGGCGTCAGTAGTCAAAAATGCCAGCGCCACCTACATATTTCATTAAAATCAATCTTTCTTTTCAAACATGCATTTCACAAGGTGTTTCCATATTTTTGTCCATCCACTGTATGTAATGTCTCAACAATTTTTTTATCTTTTCTGTTATAGAATAACACGTCAGACAGCCTTTTAACAAAGATACAAGCATCAGTTTGATACTTCTAGTGATAAAATATACTTTCATCATTGGCTGATTTGACTGTTGTGATATTTTTCACCTAAATATAAGAATTAAAACACAAAAACAAAATTTTTTTTATGTAAGTTATTTAAGTGAACAAAGAATGAAATAAAATGGCATACTTTAAAAACTTTTTATTGACAGTTCTTATTTTGAAACAAACTATTGCTGCATGTGTCTTCCTTTAATGGTAAATATCCAAATTTTTCAGTAAAATGTATGTGTGATTTAAATGAAGTAAATTAATTTGAATTTTATCAAAAAATTAGATATAATAAAATTAGTTACTTATATTTTGTAAATTGCAACCATGTGAAACACTTAAAGTCATATAATTACATAGTTTGCATATTTTTCTGCTCAGATGAAAAATGGTGCTTGGATATCATATAATAATTATGTTTTCCTTCTGTTAATAGGAGGATAGAAGCTGAATTGATGGAAAAAGCAACTGTCAAAACATCTGCTCCAGGTGAAAGAACATTAGCTGAAGTTTTATCAGGTACTTATTTATTTAATATTTTTAAGCCTTTATTCTGAATTTTATGAGACATATGACATATTTGAAAAATAATTTTGCTTATTAATATAAAAACAACTTAATTTTGTGAATGTATTTTCTTTGCTTCCATATGAAGAATTAGAAGGTAAGTGTTTCTGATAATCAGAAGTAAATAAATCTGATAAATTGTTTTGTTATACGTGTGATAGCATCTATTCGTATAATCTCAAACTAATTTCTTTTGTTTAGAACCATTGAAGGAGTCAGTGTTGGAAGATATTAAAGGTAAGTCTGAATTAAAAAGATACTAAAGTTTCAATTGTGGTAAAGTAATTTATCTATTACATTCAGAACTGTATAGCTGTAATAATGGGTGAAATTTAACTTACGGTACAGTCTGTGTTGATAATGTAACAATTTTTTTTAAGTTATCCCGGCATTTTTAGTTATTTATTATCAGCAATAAAACTGTAGACATGTTTAAATCAAAATTATCTGAAAAATTTAATAAATTTAATTTGATCATACTTATCGATGCTATTTATATTCTTATTATATCACTTGTGTTATTTTCTAAAGTCACTGTTAATGAAGCAGCATTTGGGTTTTAAAAAATGCTACAATACAGTATGCCCCGCCTCTAAAAAATAATTTCATCAAAATTTGTTACACAAAATTGAATCAAGTATGCTTCTTCTTATTTTGAGCATGCATTTTATTCTTTTTTCGTGATTTAAAGTAAATGCATTTTATAGGCAACTTCTATTATTGCTTTATATTTCTATCTGATTCAAAGTTGACTGGATTATAACTGCTTTGTCTTTGCTAAGATAGCTGTAGTATAATTAATGTGAATAAAGAGAAAAAGCAGTGAGAAAAATATTATCGACTATTTCCAGAGAGCATTTGTATTGGAAAAGTTTATCTATTTCATAAAAAATAAAGCTAGTTTGTTTCAACATATATATAGTAGTACCTTGCAAAAAGGAATACCCACTGGACCAGATATTTTGTCTCTTAAACAGGGGTGTCCCTTCTTCAGAGTGTACATACTTAATGTAATTTAATTATAAATTCAGATTGTATCAAGTTTTAAATAAAGGATATATAAACAAGTAACAACACAGGTATTTATTTGAATTTGAAGTTAATGTTGCAAAAATGTATGAAATAAACAATAGAGTTTTTGTACTTGTAGAATTTTTTTAAAAAAAATAATCTATTTATATGGGTTAGTTTGAAAGTGTGCATTGCAAGCATTTTCCCATATGGATATTAAAGTCACTGATGGTCTTAAATTATTCACTGTCACTGACAGTTATCATAATTTTTCTTTTAATTAGAAGTGTATTTTAAGGCATCTGAATAGTTTTTTATGTCACACTTTTCATGTGGGTCTTCTTCATTTTCTTCATTGCTTTCCAAGCTATTTTTTGCTAAAGCTCACATCATCAACTACAATTGAAATAAAATGTTTTGTGTCATCATTGGTGTTTTCACTACATAAACTTTCATTGATTTCTAAATATTCTTGTATTTGAGCATTGCCACTGATTTTGATAAGTTCAAACAATTTAGGTTACTCAAAACTAGAATTAATTTCAAAGGCTGCTTTCTTTCCAATGCTGAATACAGATTTAATAGCTTTTGTTATCCACTGAATATGGCATTCAATACATTGACACATTTTGCAAGCTCAGGGCTGTGTCTGCAAGCAGCTTGACAAAGAGCATGCCATAAAAACTGTTTTCTGTAATGAACATTGAAGCTTCTAATTATACCTTGGTCTAAATCAGTGGTTCTTAAACGGGGGTGCTCGCACCCCTGGGGGTGCGGGAATGTATTTTTGGAGGTGCGGGAGAAACCCCTTCCTAACCATAAAAATTATTAAATATCATTTATTAAATTTCTTATAATAAAATATTTGAAATCTGCAATATAGTGTATCCAATATTGAAGCTCATAAAAATTGGTAGCACCCAGCTCACTCACTTAACGCAATGCAACATGCAATGCGCTTTTGCATATAAAAACTAAAGCGAGAAATCGCTTAAATGCAAATGATGGCTTACGCGTATGTCTTTCAAAAAAGGAACCTCGCTTCTCCAGTATAATAATGAACAAACAACAACAGACTAGTCATTAATAAAAATAATATTGTTTTGTATTTATATAAAATGTACAATGTTTTTCAATAAACAATAAGTTTCGCAAAAAATGTAGGTACTTTTCCGTTTTGCCGGCGCAAATCTCGCCAAGCGGACTTTGTTAGCGACAACAAACAGTATACACAAAAAATGTTAACAAATGTCAGTTCTAAGAACTTTTTATTCTGAAGGCATAAACATTTTAATATGGTTTAAAATTTTGTAAAAAGCCAATAAATAAAGACAAATTTGTAAAAAGACATAAATTTAAGAATTTACTATGCTTTCATGGTTCAACATCGTGGTTTGCCGGCTCGTATCACGTGTCTCGAAGTGATCGTATCTCAGGTAAACTACTCTACAAAAAATCTAATTCTCTCAGTAATTATCTACACTAATTTCAAATTAAATCTTAATTTGGAATACAAATTTAAATGTAAGAATTATTTCCATTCGTTCGAATAGCTTATTCGGAAATTATGTAAAACTGGTTTGGTTTGGTTTTGTGTAATTATGGCAAATCCTCGAGGGCTATCTGCCTAAGGGAAGGGATGCCTTCGTGGAGGACTTTCTAAGGGAAACTGGCTTGTATACACATTACACAGGGGGAAAGCCACGAAAACGGCCATGCAGCCAGCCCGTTCGTATGTAAAACTGCAGTGCTTTACTTCGCTAATGCATTCTCATTAGAATTTATGAATTTAACCCTTGACTTTGCCTTATCTATATCTTTGCCATCGTGTGAGCGGTTTGATTCCATCCTAATTGACTTAATTACTGCGAATGGTCTTAGGGCATAAAATTCAATTATCTTGTAAAAATTCAATGTAATTGTATGGCAGTATTGAAAGATAATCTGATAAGAAATGGGAAATGGCTGCCACTTGTTTTGAAAACGAGGCATAAGATATATATATAATATATAAGGCAATATAAGGTTACCAGCGAAGATATACCATTTGGCATCAGTTGTACCATTATTGGCCACTTTATAGCTTGCACCAGCAAAACGGAAAAGTACCAAAATGTATTTTTCTGGACTAAAAAAATTAAAACACATTTTTCAATGGGGTGCGGCGATATCTTTTTAGATTCAGTGGGTGTGACTCGCTAGAAAGGTTAAGAAACATTGGTCTAAATGATGTGCCATTAGGTGAGAAAAACATTAATTTCACTGATTTCAGTTTTACTTTTGGTGGATGGGCTGGTGAATCATCAAGAAATAGTAGAATCTTCCTATTTTTTTCTAAACATTGTTTCATCAAGAGCAATTAACGATTCTGGCATTATGCTTTGCCATCATCCATGAATTTTTATTGTGATGGCAATGGACCAATAAAGTTTTTGGATTGATATATTTGAAGGATCTTGGTTTTGGGTCTTTTCAGTTACAAGTGGTTAAACTCTCCTTCTATGTTACAACAAAATTACAGAGAGAGAGAGAGAGACATTTCTTTGGAGCTTTTACAACTCAAGAACTTTTTTCTCTTTAAAGCAAAGAGTTTTATTAGGCAAAATTTGATAAAATAATACAGCTTCATGCACTGTAGATGATTTCAGCTTCATATTCTTCACAGATTTCATTTAGCATATTTATTTAGTCTGTTACATGTCGTGTACCTATTGACTTTTCTTCAAGACAATTAATCTTAAAAGTAATATTATGCCTTCTCTTAAATTTCTCTAACCTACCATTTGGTGCTTTGAAGCTCTGTAGTCCCAGACTTTTCAAAATTCCTTTAGCCTTTTCTTGCAATAATACTCCATTTATAGGAATATTGTTTGTGCTTACGCATAAAACCAACTGAACACTACTGTATCAATTTCATTTTTTTTTTTTTTTTTTTTTTTTTTTTTTTTTTTTTTTTTAAAGTTTTACAGTCTTGGACCTTCATTTGAATTGCTAACCTGAATATTTTTATTTCTTCTCTATCCTTCAGCACATGTCTTACTTGGTTTTTACTTATTATAAAATTCTGCTGTAAATCTCTCAAACTAAGCTTATTATTAGGTTAGCTGTTTCTGAGTTTGAGGCTTCATTTTAGAATTAAAAAAAAAAAAAAAAAATTCTTTATGATATCAATTTAAGGTTGAATTATTTGTGTAATTTTATAATGAACTTGTTTCTTTCCTATCAAATTTTGAAAAAAAATTATAGTTATCACAGTGCTTTTTTTAGTTGGAAGTTCCTCTACCACCTTTGGATGTCAATTATCCACTTGATGGGGAGAAAAAACTTGACATATTTTAATTTCTGCTACCTGAATTGTAACATTTTTTGTTTTAGTGTTAAAATTTTTTTGGCCTCCTTTGTAAAACTATGCTTATCTTAACATCTTTTCTTTTTCATTGATCTCTGCCTTGGATTTCCTAACAACTTGCTAACATTGTTTTCTTTACTGAGAACTAACAAAAATAACTGGATTTTGAATTCTATGAATGTGAAATATCCTTTTAATTACACAACAACTTGCTTTTTCCCAATGTATTGTTGCCTTTTTCTTCACTGAAAAATACTTTTCAAAGGAGAGGGATTAGCTTTTCATTTCATTGTTCGTTTGTCACAGAACTATCTTTCACTGGGCACAAACTTGCCTTTGAAACCTCAAAAAAATTACTGACCAGAAGTATTTCTATTTTTATTTATTTCTTTACCTCTGTCTTATTTTTTAATGTTTTTCCAGTGTCCTTTAAAAAGAGGTAAACACACTAACGTTCCTATTCAAAGGAATGGAAATCAACAGATTTATCCCTTACAGGAGGTACTACTGTATGTCTAAGAATAAATTTCAATCAGTAATTGTGTGTAATCTTTCACTATTGATTTTTATTAAAATAAGCTGTGAACGCTTATGCTACTTTTATAATAGCACAAAGATATTTTGAGTGTTTTTATTTCTATAATTACTTTATTTAAATCATTGTAACTTTCTATTTTAGTTCGTACGTGTTTTGTCACTCCTCGTGCAAGAGGCCTGATTCTTCAAGCACATGAAGCCAGAAAGCAAATCAAAGGAAGTGTTTCACCTGATCCAGAAGTATTATTTTTTCTTAGGATAATTTTCAAGCTATGTTTTTATTCATTAAAAGAAATATCTTGTTTTTAATTCACATTATATTAATACTGTCATTGAAAAAATGACTCCAGTGCAGAATCTGAAGGGATACTAATTCTGTTTGAGCCATCAAATTGTGAAATGTAAGGATAAATATGATATGATCATGTTGTATAGATCCTGTATTAATAGACTTGGTATGCTTTGTTATAATTAAATAATACATTCCAGTCCATTTAATATTTCAGATGTACTTCAAATGATTATGTTTTAAGCACATCCAAAATAAAGATTATCCTAAGATTATATTTTTTAAAAAAAATGAAAAGCAAATTTCAAATAAAATATTCATGCTTATTGATTTTTTTAACAGATTCAAGTTATTTTTTCTAAAATTTAAAAGCCTGTTACTTGAAAATGAATATGTTAGCTTTTTCATTGTATTTCAGCTAAGAAAAATTTTCATCAAAATTTAAACATTTTTACAGTATTTCTGTTGATAACTACTGCTGAGCTTTCTTGCATACTTAACTATATATATGCTTGTACATTGTATATTATAACATTAGAATTCTTGTTAATGAAAGCTCTAAAACCCTAGAATTATTAAAGATAAGCAAAATTTAGTTTTAGATTGTTGTTAATTTCAAACAGAAAAGTTCTGTACATTTCATCACAATCTGTTGTGGCTTATTTCTGACCTTAATGTGGTTGTCTGCATGCGTCACCGGTGCCTTTAAACCATTTCCATGTTTCTGAGATTATGCTTTTGATTAAGTTTTTTACAGACTTATATCAGTTTCTGGCCTGCTTCCATTTTCCCATTCTCATGCTGTTTTTCACCATCTGTCAGATGCCTTCTGACTGAATAAACTTCCTACTTATATTCCACTTTTCTGCAAAACTTTTGTTCATCTATTCAAAAAATGCTTGAAACTAGAATTTGAAGCAGCCCTTGCACTCCTTTCTACATTTGTCCCTTTAAAAAAAAAAAAAAAAAAAAAAAACAGGCGCAGAAATCTACATATTTTTCTATAGTGAAGATGACTCTTGTTGGTTTGCATGATGTTGACCTTGAGCTACAAATTACCTTTCATTGGACCTCAATAAAATTAGCACAAAGCACTTTTTCATAATTGTTCCTTTGATTTTTCCCACCAATGTAAAGAAAACCAAACACTAAAAGAACACTTGTTTAGAAAAATAGTGTAGAATAGTTTTCATATATATCTTTATAAAATAGTATTAAAATAAATTTGCAATAAAAGGTGAAGTTATTTCAATGGTGATAACTTCATAAAATTTAACAATCTCACCTGGTGACTTAATATTTCTTGCCAAATAAAATTTCTTCACATCAAGCTACTAATAATTTTATTCCTTGCCTTATATGTAGAATGTTTTCCTTGTTAGAATCTATATTCTCCAAAATTTTTAACCTTTTTGAAATAAGCTGAGACCTTCTGTAAATTGTGCAACTTTCATATGTTTTTTTTTGGTTGATCTCGGTCAGGTGCAAGTATCTTTACACATAAGCTCATCAGCTGTGAGATCTTATTTATGCGAGTACAACAACTTGCTGCAATTTTTACTATCAACTTTTAAATGTAATTGGTTGACAATATTGACAATATTGACTTCTTCTGTTAGAGTAATTTGGTTTAGCATTGTTTTCATCTAACTTTTTTTTTTTTTTTTTTTTTTTTTTTTTTTTTTTTTCAAGATTCTGTAGTGAAAATAAGGAGTCATGTAACTTTGCTTAAGTTGGGGTATCACTTTATTTGATTAGCTGTTTCTGAGTTTTCTTGAGGCTTCATTTTGGATACTTTAAAAACAAATATAGCATTTCTTTATGATATCAATTTAAGGTTTAATTAATTGTGTAATTTTAAAATGAACTTGTTTCTTTCGTATCAGTTTTTGAAAAAATATAGTTATCATATGACAGTGCTTTTTTTAGTTGGAAGTTCCTCCACCACCTTTGGATGTCAACTATCCACTTGATGGGGAGAAAACCTTGACAATTCCTGGAACATTAAGGTATGCCAAGTCATATTGTATGATTTAATTATCAATCAAAAAAATATTTACAAGTAATTTCAGAGTTGTAAATTTTTTTGAATGCATTTAGCATGTGAGATGTAATTGCTAAACCATTCTGCATTCAACTCTGATATACAATCAATGCGCTGTCAGTGACACTGCTGGCTGGCAATTTGTCGTTTCACCATCCATACCCCACTTTCGATATGCACTCACAACAACTGCACATGAACAGCCCACTAAATGTGCTGTTTCTGATATCTATATTCCCAGTCGGCAAGCCGTAAAGATTTGACCGTTAACAAAGTCTGATAAATCAGCTGCTTTTCCCATTATGCCGCTAATTGTGCTATGTTTGGAAAGACAATGCATAGCCGCTTTATATACTGCAACATCAGCTGCACACACACAGTGGTTTTGTTCCTGGGTGAGCCCATTGTTATAGATGGAGAGTGGTCATAATGTAATGGCTGTTCGGTGTATGTTTCATGAAAGAAACTTTCAATAGTAAGTTAATTGTAAAACAGATATTCAATAGTAGTTACAGCAGGAGATTAATAACAGTAAGTTCAACAGCAGATTTCTTATAAAAATTGTAATGGTAGGTTAATTTTAAAAAATTATGTACATTAAATGGCTGTTCATTTATTATACACCTTCTCTCCAAATGTCTTTATGTTGCCTTTATTTTCTCAGTTGCTGTTTGTAGACATAGGATACGAATTACAAAAGTGTTGTAAATGATGCAAATATTCTTGTTTTGGCCTTTAAAAATTCAGTTATGTAAAAATTACAAAATGTAACTTTTCGTGTGCTTCCTCCCCCCTCCAAGCTCTTCAACAATGTTAAAATAGTCTTAACTCACTGTAAAGGATAGAATGTAAAAGGTCCGACTGTCATATGATTAAAAGATTGAGGTATTTAATTTCAAAGTTTGGGATCATACTCAAATTGAAGAATGAAATATTTAGAATATCAGAAAATAGCAGCGAGCTTCAATATTGGAATATAATCAATTCATATCATTATTTGCACAAATAAAACATATCTCTTCCCCCCTTTTTTTAATGATTAGGACTCTAAAGTAATAAAACTGCATGAGAATATTTTGTAATATATTTTTAGCATTTGAAAACCTAGAAAATTATTTTTTAGGTTTAGAAATGTCAAAGTATGTATATGTGGGTCATTTAAAGTAATTTTGTAATTGGAAGTATATGTCTGCAATAAACAGTTGCATAAATAAAGACCTTATAAGGACTCCTGTGAACATGGTGTATATTTAACACGTTGATGCCGGCATGACCCACTGGAGGCCCATGCTTGTCTGTTCCATGGGGCGGCCTGATCCACCGGTGGCCCATGCTAGATTGTTCCGTGGGGCAGCATGCATCACTGATGGGCCATGTTTGTATATAAAAAAATATGTAATACAAAATTTAATTTTATTAATTTAACATTATACATTAACATTTCTACCATATAATCAAACAGTTAACACAAAATACATAACTTATAATTTAATCAATACATTAAATATAACAAAATATAACTACTTATGTTTCCGATGCAATTTTTTAAAACATTTTAAACAAAGTGCCAGCTTATCCGGACAACTGCTACAAAAGGTCATTCCTTTTTTTTTTGTTTTGTTTATGGCATACTGTGTATCTTTTAAGTTTGTTAAGCGTTTGTAACACTCTTTACGTCTTTTCCTCATCTTCCTCACGGATTTTTTTTTCTGTCTACTTACTATTAATTCTTCACTAAGGGGATTCTCAACACTCTTCAATAGATAATCAATAATTTTTTCTATGAATTTTAAAATTTGGTAATGCTTGGTTCGCCACTTTTTGTGGATGTACCATGCATTTACTAAAGAGGTCCCGCATATTAGCTCCATGACAACTTTTCGATACCATTTTACCGTTTTCCGTAAACATATATAATAGGAAAACATTTGGTCAGATATATCAACTCCCTTTTTTGCACTATTGTAAGAAAAAACAGTATCTGGTTTCAATTTGTCATCTTTTCAACGAATAATGGCGCAATTGTGAGATCTCGAAGTGGTTAATATGCGCAGGGGTCTTTTGTCGTACCACTTTAAAAATTTCACGCCGCTCTAATTTTCAAGAGATATAATGTCACCCCGTTTCTGTTTTTGCTTTGCCTGCGGCGGTAGAAATTTTCTATTCTTTTTGACTGTACCGCAATTATATGTTCTTTTAGTGAGAAGATCTTCGGCTAAAGGAATACTTGTATAAAAACTGTCGGTAAATAAAATCTGGCCCTTGAATAATAGATCTTCTATCAATTTCATGGCTACATCATGAGAATGTGTTTTTACAATTTTCATTTCATTTTTTCAGGAATAAATATGCATATTGTGTGTATATCTGCCTGGAAGGCAGAGTTTGTACAGTTTTATTCCATACTTGTGCAGCTTACCTGGTATATATTGATGAAAACTAAGGCGTCCTTTCCATGGAACCATGCTTTCGTCAATTACTACATTTTTATTGGGTTTTACAGCATCTTTGAATGTACGAAGAATTTTATCAACTACATTTTGGAATTTATTTAACCAAACCTCAGTTCTACCTGTTTCGTTATCGGAAAAGGGCAAGTATTTAAATATTGCCAAGAATCGATCACATTTCATTTCTTTCTGTATATGCGCATTTGCATACATCCCCTTTTTGGACCAATATAGTCGAATTGGGTACCTGCACTACACCCATAATAAGCAAGATACCAATAAAGGTATTCGATTCACATTTTGTAACGGAGTTTCATGCTTGTTGATGTTGTCTCCTGTCATATGCTGCATTCACTATGCACTATTCATCTCTTCAACGATAATCTCCAATATCTCCTCCGTGAAGAATAATTTATATAATGCAGCAGGATTGTTGCAGTCCGTCTCTTTGATCAGTAGCTCTTCTTCTCCCAAATACTCTTCCTCTGATGCAGATTTTTCTGCTATTTTCCACCATTCCATGTCATCATCTTGGTCAAATACATCAGACTCCTAAACTTCTTCCTGCGTGGTATTTCTATTAGTTGCTGTGTCCGATGATGAGGAAAGTATTCTATTTCTTTGTCTCTTTTGCATGATTCCAGATACGGATTCATCAGACGAATCGCTGAATGCCATATCCATTGTATCTAATATTTAGATGCGCAAAACTTAAAAATTTAAAATGCTAACCACCTTTTTTAGAAGAAAAGAAACTTTTTACTACCATTACGCTTACCGGAAGAAATGTATGCTCAGATAATTCGTTATGTCAGAACTCTACTGACCTCGCACCTCACAGGCACTTCACACAGAATACTTGCACACTAACAGTACTCTTTCTTGCTGTCAACTCTAAACTTAGTAAAACTCACGTCATCTAAATATTCGATAATGGTCCCTCATTTCTAGGTTACGCACTATATATTCAAAAAGTGTCAACTGGGGCATATTCATTTCCCAAAAAGTCGCAGATTTTCTCCACTATGCGAGGGGCGGTTCTGTACTTCTAAGAGGCGGGTCAATGTTCGCCCAACTAAAGCCCACTCTGAGGCCTGCGATTTTCCAAAGGAAAAACAAACGATCTCTTTGAATCAGCTAGTGGATATTAGGGCGGACTACTAGTTGAAGCGCCACCGGATGGAACGGACAGCAAATATCCGAGCCGGCGTCAATGTGTTAAAGTTGCAATTCTTTTTCAAAATTAAATCCTTCGAATGAAGGATTATTATTATTGTTACGGGATATATGTTGCTGTTGTCTATGGAATTCTGATAGCATTATCTCATTTTAAAAACTAAAATGAATTTAAATTCACTGGAACTTTAGGTTATGTCAAAACAGTGTATATTTATAGCACTGTGTAATCATTGATTTGCTTCTTTGGTAATGATTCATATATAATTACAGTTGCTTGTTGACTGCAGAAAAAATAACTATAATTTTTTTAGCATTTCTGCACTATTTGTGAAATAAGTGGCTGACATATGTATTAAAAAATACAAAATATTAATTTTGTTAAGTTCTAAAACTTCTCGAAAATATTCTCAAAAGTAGAATGGAAAATAGAATATATGTATTTAATGCTTGAAATTTATTTCTTCAGAAACTATGACCAACAGAGACATTAAAAATGTAGAACGGTTTATTTTGACAGAAGCTGTGAATAAACACTCAAATTTTGTGTATGTAATTTAATTAACTGACCTTAACTTTTGCTTTGTGAAATATTCACCTACAGTATTTGATTAGATGAAATCATAGTTCAAGTATAAAAGTTCTCGCATAAGAACACTAAACATAAAATCCAAGCATAAAAACACAAACTTCGAACATGAAATCCAATCTTTGGGGTTTGGTTTTTAGAAGTTTTTATTACTTTGTGCATAATAGAAATGTAAATAATTTTCTTTTAAAAAGTCCTTCAAAACAATATGTAAAGTATAGAGCAAGTGTTCACAGTTGGGGTGGGGGCGGTCAGCATTTTATTTAGCTATTAAGTATTTAGCTTTAGTTGATGAATATGAAAAAACTACTTTTCTTGAAGTTTTGCTATTTATCAACATTTTTGTTTAATTTTATCAACTTTTTATCATTTAATTTATAAAACATATTAAAAAATAATCTAAATCCGAAAAAGAAATATATATGTATTTTTCAAGTTATGGAAAAGGGCTGTGGAATTCCACCAGTGGTAAAAAGGATGCATGGGGCAAAACAGGTTGAAAACTATTGGTAGCTTTTTGCAAGCATATCTACTATAGATAATAAGTAGTCTGTTTCAGAAATTTCTTTCAAATTTTATAGTTATTAGTAAACATTTTAACTTACTGTATTCAAATTTTAATATTTTCAGTGTGATCTTTTTGTGAAAATGTATTATTTAAAATTTATTCCTGTTAAATATTTAACTATTATAAACCATTTTCAGGGAATGGGCTGCTGAAATATTATTTGAACAAGATGCTGATAATAAATCTATTGCTACATTAATTTTGGATTCATTATTAAGGGTAAAATTAATGTTTTTATATGTATGAAATGTCATTGTTTTTTGTTTTTCATTATTTCTGGAAGTATGTAATTTTTCATTAATGTATGTGAAATAGATGATAGTTATACATAATTTATATATTTTTATAAAAAAGATTTATGAGTTGATATCCTTAATATGAAGTTGTTATAATATTTCATATTTTATATGAAAATTGTGACATGGGATCTGAAAACTTTAATCGAATTTAATGATCTTTGAAAAATGCATTACAAATAGGTTATTCTAAAATAAATTAAAATGATTTATTTTGTTGTTCTAAAATAAATTAAAATAATTTATCTTGTTGTTCTAAAATAAATTAAAATAATTTATATTGTTTGAACAAATCTGTAGAACTTTATGTGTTGTTCCTATATAGCCTCCTTATTAAAAATAAATAAATAAATAAAAATTCATATTGCCTATTGTCAAAACTATTTCAGTTACAGTCGACTTCCAAACCACATAAAATTAAAAGAATTTTTTTACAGATATTATAGTAAAAATTTTAGAATGTGACTCATTTTTCTTAAGATTTAGCATTAAAATTTTATTTTCACAGTGCCCAATAGACACTCGACGAGAATTGGCAAACAATGTTATAATAATGGGTGGCACTGCTATGTTACCTGGTTTTAAACATTCACTGCTTACAGAAGTTAAAATGTTACTTGATGATCCAAGGTACTCATCTCGATTACCTTTAAAAGAAATTAAAATTCATAATCCACCAGCAAAAGAAAATTATGTAGCTTGGCTTGGAGGTAAGTTCTTAATAATAGCTTCCTTGTTAATAATTTGAAGTGTTATTTGAACTTGTGCTTAATAGTTTTTTTTTTTTATTTTTAAATCTTAAGATTTTATACATGTATAAAATTGTGATAAAAGCATTTTTTGATATCTGAATAACTGGCATAGTTCAGGGCTGAAATTTATGCCTTCTTAGGTTAGATAGAAATAGATTTGATATATTTATTACTATTATTATTTGAAAAGCTAATACACAATTCTTTATTAAAATAGTTTGTGATAAGAAAGCTTATAGTTTTTAAGTAATTCAATAAATGACAAAGTTGACATGAAGAAATAAAAGTAAATGAAAAAGAAAGAATTAATTCAAACATTGAAACTACTCAGAGTGCTTAAGAGCAGACTGTGTTATTCAGCAGGTTTATTATGAAAATGTAAATGCTGCAAATGAATTTATTCACAAATATCTAAAAAATTACATGATTTCTATATCAGCATATCTGCTTCCTAATGAAAACATTATCAAAGTTTTGCTCACTTTTTCTATAAATCAGTGGTTCTTAACCTTTTTATTGGTCATTACCCTTTGAATCTGAAAATAAGCTCTTACACCCCCCCCCCTTAAAAAATGTGTCTATTTTATTTATTTAAGTTTTTTTTTTTTTTTTTTTTTTTTTTTTTTTTTTTTTTTTTTATAAACAACTTCTGTGTTTATTTACAATATATGTTACTGTGTAACATAAAAGCCAATATTTAGATTTTAATGGCTAGGCTGTTGTTGTTTAGTCATAATGATTCTATTAAAACAAGGCTCTTTAAAAAAAAAAGCCTTGTGTAAATCATCTGATACATTTAACCCATTCCTGGCTTTTGTTTTGATGTGCAAAAGTGCAGAAAATCCCATTTCACAAAGGTAGATGGTGGCAATTGCTAAAAGTGTCGCTAATGCTGCTTTTGCTAGTTGTGGATAAGTTTCAAACTGGTTACACCAGAACTGCTCTAAATCTAGTTTTTCAACAGCATTTTCATACGTGCATTACCTCATATTTCGATAAGATGTTCTTTTAAAAATTTTTTGTCGTCCATTGAATTTGGATCAAACAAAAGTGGATTGAGTATCCATTTATTTATTTTGCTAATATTTCCCATGAAAAAGTATCCATCAAATGATTCACTCAGTTGTTGGAGGTGTATTATAATTTCTAGTATAATTAATATTTTTTCGTTTTCCAAAATGACTGAAACCACCAAAGGAAAGTTAGCTGAATTCCTATGTTCAACTTGACATCTCCAAAGTTTTAATTTTTCACTAGCTGTTATTATGTTCTTGTCAAATCTTTGCATGGAAATGCTTACTTCATTAATGTGGTTAAATATATCTGCTAGGTAGGCTAGTCGAAGCAATGTGTCTCTATTTCCAAAATCTTCCACTCAGTCATTATTTTGGTTAGTAAGAAACTGTATAATTTCTTCACTCAAATTAAAATCCCTGGTCATCATGTGGCCCTTGAAGAGTTACCATATTTCTGCATGGTAAAGAAGCACAATATAAACAGCACTGATTTCTTCACTCAAAGCACAAAAAATATGATGATTAAGTACTGTTTTTCAGATGTACTTAATTACATTCAGTACTCTAGTTAGATATTTCAGATTCTTTGACAAAGTGTTTGATGTAAGTGCATGATAATGCAGCATGCAGTGTGTTATTGTAACGTGCAGTATTTCTCTCTTCATATATGAAATAAAACCATAATTTTTACCCAACATTGCAGGCGCACCAACAGTACAAATTGAGTCATAATACTCATGAGTGTTTGGTTGTTTTTTTTTTTTTTTTTTTTTTTTAATTTTAATGTGATTAAACACATGAATGCTTTTTGTTGTTGAATCAAGAGTTCACAAAATAGAAAATGTTCTAGTATTTCATTTTCTTTAATATATCATGAAAATGCTAATAACTGACTGCTATTATCAACATCAATTGACTTGTCCAGTTGGATGCTAATTTTTAGAGGACTGGATTTGATATCTTCTGCTATTTGCTGTAAAATATCAGCACTGAGATCTTCATTGCACAATCAAATCACATCATTCGGTAGTGGAATTAGTTGCATTATCTTTTGTGCTTTAGAACTGAACAAAAATTTTGCAATTCCAAGTGCACATGGTTTTACTGGTTCTTAGCTCTGTGGCTCTTACACAGATACACTACTTGATAGGAAGCCTCTTAGAAAGGCTTTTTAACTGCTGCAACATAATAGTATTGCTGGTATCAAATCATGCTTTCTTAAATTTCAAGATGTTAAGATTATATCCTTCAGATTCACTATCATGGTGATTATTGAAATGTTCGAGCAATTTTGAGGGTTCAAAATTGGGGTTGGAAGATATTTTGCAACATAAAATTGTGCAAAACAACATTGTGGTCATTGCATACCATCTTTTTCTGCTGTACAAGGAATCCATAAGCAACATAATTATCTTTCCATTGGTGCCTTATCAACATAACAAGTGTTACTAAAATTTAAAAAAAAAGAAAAGGAAATCTGAAAGATTTCAGATTTTAAATTACGTCCAAAGGAGTGTTTTTTTTTTTTTTTTTTTTTTTTTTTTTTTTTTTTTTTTACATTTTGCGTGTTACCTTTATTTATTAAATATCATGTTCTTCGCACTCAAACCATTAAATTCACTTCAAAATATATATCACTATATCGCAAAATAATTTTTAATTGTGCTTATCTTTAGAATTTCCGATACACAGTCTCACGTGCTGGAGATGAAAATGCTTTTTCTTTACAACCTTGTCGTTCCTTGCTTTGAAACCCTCGAGTTTGTTAATCAAAAATTCGTGTTTACAAAGTTCTACAAAATATGAAATCGATAATAAAATAAGTTCCAAATTTAGGCCAGTGAGCTAGAGAGGGAACAGTAGGAGGAAAAATTGAATATTCTAAAGAAGATTAATTGGTAATAGTATTTTGGAGTATAGATACAAATATCAAATTATGATAATAATAACTCCACTTATCAGTCTCATTATTTGATTCTGACTGTTAACTAGAGATATAGGCAAAAGATTTAGCTGCAAAATAATTTTAAAGAATCCTGACAATTACTTAGACCAACATTAAACACAAAAAAAAAGGATATTGATCCCCCCCCCAAAAAAAAACATTAAAAACATGATTTATTTCATAAATCTGTGATAGTTGAAAAAGAAATAAAAAATTAAAAAAGAAAATGCTGATTTTATTTACATTTTTTCTGAAATACATTTTTGGATATTGTAGGTTCCACAATAGTCATAAATCCATAGTTTGCTCTTTTCACTTACTCTTATGTTTCCTATTTTCCTACTTTTCAATGTTTTACATTATGTTTGAATATAGAAATACATGGTTTGCAACATAAATATCATATTTTCTAAAAAATAAGACCCTCGTTATATTTCAAGATACATTTTCAGAAATAAAATTGTAAGTAAAATTGAAATTTTATTATCTGTTTCTGATAAAGAAAATCTTTTTTCTCTTTCCTTTGTAAGTTTCATAAAATATGAGTACCATTATCTGTGGCCCACGGACATTTTTAAAGACTTGTTACCAGTTTCTTTTCAAATGTATTAAAGACCAAAATAGTAGATATAGACCTAAATTGAAATTGCTTAGCCTAAACATGGCTGAGATAATTAGTGTTTGTTATGTGGTATATATAAATATTGTAATTACTATATATGCTATATATATAAAATATACTATATATAAAAAAAAGTCTTTTTTTGTGTGTATATATGGTATATCAGACTTATAGCAATAATCTGATTTTTCTTGGAAGAAAACATTTAAATGTATTTTCTTGAAGCAACAATTTTGCAGATTCATGGTATTCATATCTGGAAGAGAACCATGCCTGTTTGAAAACATGTTTTTTAGAAGGCACTTAATATATCATTAAACTTCTCATTCAATAAACTTAATATTTTTAATATAATTTAATATTAATTTACCTATAAAGTAGAATATCATTTTTGTTATATCAAGAATCTTAATTTTTAAAATCTCGAAGGTGATTTTTTTAAGTAAAATAATCAAAACTTGCATGCTATTTCTGAGAACATTTATCTAAATTTGCTGCAATGCTTAATTTGTTTATTTATTTAATTTTTACATATTACAGTCAAAAGTCTTTAATTCGGACACCCATAATCCGGACCACAAAACTACAAACTATCTGTGCATGCGTCCCTTTGACGCATGCGTGAAAGACCTTTACGGCTGCGAATATGCGTGTGCACATGCTCAAAATACGTTTACGAATGCACGTTTAATGTATAATGAACGGTATAAGTAAGCTAAGCTAAAATTATCTAATTCAGTTAATATTGCAGATTGCGTTGTTCCTTAATCTTCGAATTGGATCCGGCTTATTATTTTTTGCAGACTGTTAGAGCAATTTTATAAAAGTACGCTTGAACTTTCGATTATGTCAAATAGAATTTCTGATATATATTTACTAATATGTAAAGGATCTACAAAGTGAAAGTATGTTTCCATTAAACAAAAAGTGGAATTGCTGCAAAAAATGGATAAAGGCATATCCTTTGTTTATCTTTAACGCTGCGGCGCACAATGAATTGGAAGTTGATCTGTCAGCACTATCCTTATCTCAGGGCAGATGTTTTTTTTTATTTGGCTTATAATTCCTTACTAAATGTAGTATTCATCTCGATGTACTCCGTCTTTGATATGATTTAAACAAATTCCTCGTCATTATAATTCGCTTCTGATAGTGAAGAAAGTGACAGAGGTTATTGAAAACGAAAAAATTTCGATTGACAAATTAGTCGGTATTCTCGACACAGCAATTATAGGACTTGAACAGTGGAACTTGTAACTGAACAAGAAATTATGTCTGTTTATAGAATTAAAGAGAAAGTATTATCACATAAAAAATGAAGCAACTTAAACAACTTATGTTGAAAGAAATGTTTAATAAAGTAAGCAAATAAATATTAAGCTTTTTTTTTTTTTTTTTTTTTTTTTGTAATTTTTGATACCCTTTAGATTTAGGATTTAGAATTTCATAAATTACGGTTTCATATTTTTAATTTTATAATTTCTGCATGCTATCTTACCAGATTTAAACTGATCATCTATAATCTGGAATCGCCGAAGTCCATACGAGTCTGAATTAACGACTTTTGACTGCATAATATTTGTTGGAAACAAAATGCCAGCTGACATAGAATTTTCTAGATTTGAGGTTCTCAACCTATTTTGCTCCATGCAGCTCTTTCACCACTGCTAGAAGATCATCCGTCCTTCCTTTTCAAAACTTAAAAAATGCATATATACATTTATTTATATATTTTTTAATGTATTTTATAAATTAATAATAATTAGAATAGAAAATGTTGATAAATATCAAAACTTGAAGTACCATATTTGCCGGCGTACAAGATGCATTGGTCTGTAGACAACCCACCTTTTTTATACACATTTTTGAAGGATAAAAAACTTTATTACTGATCATTATAATAAATTTATAGTATTTTAAATATAAATACAAAAACAAAGTACCGTGATTTCGCGCGTATAGTCCGCAGACTATCTGTGTTTAAAATGCGAATTTTTGAAGCTGTGGACTATCCACCAATGTGGATAATACGCTGGTTGTTCGCGGTTAAAATCGTTGAAATTTAAAAACACGCTGTCGTGAACTGCCGATGATCAAATATAAAAAAAGCGCGACATTCCAAGAAAACATTCATATGTATTGCATTGATAGTAAACCATAGAGCATAGTGCAGAACGAATGAGTAGTAACAAGTGGAGCTCCTAAAATCCAGGCTGGCGCATCAAGCGATGCCGGGATATGAGCACTCACTTAGCGCAACCAGAATCTTGTATCCCAGTATCCTTTGCACTGCTTTAGCGCAACTGGCGGGAGGGGGAAAAGTAGTTGATGCGTCAGCTCGGTTTTTAGGAGCCTTAGTAGCAAGTACCTGGAGTACGAAAAAAAGTGTGATTCGTTTACTTATAGCGTGGTTTGGCAACACCGAGTGAGTGGGGTCGAAGGTCACACTTCATTACCACTTATGACGAGGATAGCACGTTGCACAGTATTTTGTTTTCGTATTTTTTCTTTCATCTTTGATAACGTTGATAACATCGCCGGAGTTTTACTGCTGAGTTTAAACTCAAGGTAGTTGAGAAAGCTGAAAAAGATGGAAATAGAGAAGCGGGCCGTTATTTTGAAGAGAATGAGAAAGGGGTGAGAAATTGGTGCAAACAAAAGAATGTGTTAAAAAGCATGGGAAGAAAGCGATCCAATCGGCACAGAAAAGTAAAATGGACAGCTTTAGAGGAAAATTTACTAAGATGGGTTCTCGACCAAAGAAATGCCGGATGCTCCAATTCAACAGTTAAAATCCGTCTCCGAGCGAAGTCCATGGCAGAAGAGATGCAGATAGCGGATTTCAAGGGAGGAATAAATTGGGTTTACCGCTTCATGCGTCGTAAAAACTTGAGAGTTCGCAGCAGAACGACAATGTGTCAGGCTCTTCCGGACTACGTAGATGAAAAAAAAGCTTCTTTCCTTCAGTTTACAAGGAAAGTTATTGCAGAAGGGAAGTATTCCCTAAAAAATATTATAAATATGGACGAAGTTCCATTAACATTTGATTGTTCACCGAATCGCACCGTCGATACTTGTGGAGTGAAAACAATATCAAATGAACAACAACTGGTCAAGAAAAGACACCAATTCACAGTGATGCTCGCCTGCTGTGCTGACGGCACAAAGTTGAAGCCACTGTTAATCTTTAAGAGAAAAACAATTCCCAAGGAAAATTTTCCTCGAAGCGTCGTAATACGGTGCAATGAAAAGGGTTGGTGCAACGAGGACATTATGTCGATTGGTTTCAAGAAGTTTGGAAATAGAGAAGGTGCCTTTTTCAATTCCAAAGGAGTACTAATTATGGATTCCATGAGGGCACACATAAAAGACAGTGTAAAGGCAGGAAGCTAAAAAAAAAAAAAAAAAAAAAAATCAAAATGTGCTGAACTTAGCGTTATTCCAGGAGGTTTAACAAAAATCCTGCAACCTCTGGATATTAGCATGAACAAAAGTTTCAAGTCCCATGTACGTGCTTGCTGGGAGATCTGGATGTTGGAAGGTTTACATACTTTCACAAAAGGAGGAAATATGAGACGCGCTTCATACACTGAAGTTGCTGAATGGGTCGATAAATCCTGGAAAAGTGTTAAAGTGTCAACCATCCGATTGGGATTTATAAAAGCCAGGATTGTTAGTGAAAGCGAGGAAATCACTGACAGTGAAGATAGTGATGCTGAAAATGAACTTTCGGACACTCTTCCCGAAAATATATTAGAACTGTTTAATTCTGATACAAATGAATTGGACTTTGAAGGTTTTCATGAATATAGTAGAATGTGTGATTAATTAATATATGATTAATTAGTAAGCACTGTTTTTTATTTGTATTTAGTGTTTTTTTCTGAAGGTATATTAGTAAGTAAGTACTTCTTTCTATTTATACTTAGTTCTTTGTTTCTAAAATACATTAATATTGCCGTATTAAAAAAACATAATTTCGGACGTATAGTCCGCGAACTATCTGACAATTTTTTAAATTTTTTTATATAAAATCATGTCTGCGGACTGTACAATGGTGTGGACTATGCGTGCGAAATTATCGGTAATATTTTCTGCAAATACCCAGTCTATTTGGGAAAGAACACCTTTAGTCTTCTTCATCAAAACCCAGACACTCATCTCTAGAGCTGAATGAAGAGTCACTTGAAACCTCTTCTAAACCAGCATCTGAGTCGTCGTACAACAATTTGTCCTCTGTATCATCCAGTGTTTCCATGTTCTTTAGCATACGCAATCACACGTAGCTTGTATGCTATGATACAGCAATGCCAATGTTGTTTTTGAGCCATAACTTGCCAAGAAATTTAAGAAAATTGAATAGTAGAAATTTCACACACTTAAGTCATTCACTAAAATTGGAAAGTTTAAACGAACCCAGCTGTGATTGTCAATGAGTGCACATTCACTAAACTCTACATAACTGTAATATTCCCACACTCCGCAAGGAAACAAAAAAAATCGCATAACTCTGAATAGAGGAAATTTCCAGAAATGAAATATCGATGTATAAGACACACCCCATTTTTAAGACTTATTTTCAAAGAAAAAAAGTGCATCTTTTACATCTGCAAATATGGTAATTCTTTATATTAGTGAACTAAAACTAAATGCTTAAAAAATATCGAAAAGGCTGACCATATATCCCTGAAACTGTGAAATTCCCAATTGGTTGTTGAACTCCTGCCCTAGATCTCTATACTGGGTCAAAAGAAAAGTCTAAACTCAAATCTTTTGCTTTCAAAGGAATGGTCACATATTATGTTAGGTCTGTTCTAGAAGAAAAAAGAAATGCTTGTAATAGGGAAGTTATCCAATCTAACTTTGCAAAAAAGCAAGGGAATATAAAAAATGGTTATCCATAAAGCTGTGCATCATCATCTTCCAAACACTTATTTTTATTACTTGGAAAGTTTCAATAATACAAGAAAATAAAATTTAAAATGGTGAACGTTTTCCTTAATTCCTGACATTTTATTTAACAATTTTCTGTTAAAAGAATTTCAAAGTTCACCTGCTTTTTTGGACATGCCTTTTAAAGACTTTTTTTTAATTCCTAAGAAAAAGTATGTATATTGTTACAAATTACTGCTAAGTACTGAAAATTTTAGTTTTATGTTTATACTGATTTTAAGTTTTAATAATACTGATGAACCTAGAAGTTCAAAACTAAATATTTATCAGCATTTCATACAGTGGCATACATTGAATGCCACTGTATTTTAACTAATGTATCAGAATTACAGAACTTAGAACGTAATTAATGTGCAGTTTTCGGACCTTATTTATTTATTTTTTTTTTTTTTTAATCTATTGCAGCATCTGCTTTTGGTGGAACAGAGGCCGTTCCTTCAAGGTCAATAACAAGAGACCAGTATCGTCAAACAAAATATATTCCTGACTGGTCTGATCACAAATGGGCTGAAGATTCTGGGAAATCTTTATCTTAAATTTTATTATACAAGTTAACAAGAAAGTATGTGTATATATAAATATTGTAACAATAAAGAATATTTGGTTAAATTAATAAAAATATGATTATAACTTTTATGTTGTAATAAATACATAGACAAAAATAAAGAACCAAAAAGTGCTTGAAAAATGTATTAATATTTGCAGTTTTAAAATTTTCTTTGGATGGTAGTGATGTGTGTTAAAAAATATTGGCATTGTAGTTTGTGGTCATAACAGTTCTTGGTTACTTTCCATTTTGGCTTAATGCTGAAAATTCTATGAATTTTAAAACACCATATTTACATGCAAAGTTATTAGACTTCTCGACAGCAATCACAATGAAATTTTCTGAGATGGTCGGTTGATCATCTGAATAAAACAACAGATGCTAAGTGTGATACTTTGCTTTCTGCAATCCTAGAATAAGACATATAAAGAGCAGCATGCAACTACCATGGGCATAAAGTTTCAATATTTGAAGCCATGGACTCGCAATGTATCTACCTTACAATGTGCATACCTGGTCATATCGCAGTTAACTACTGCTACTGCAAATCATCACTTACAAGTAGTCTTTTGAAGTAATAAGTATGTTGCATAATTAATAAAATAGCTTGTAGTATTTATGTTGTAGTACAAATATTAGTGTAACAGATAATACGGTTTCAGTATATACTGGTAATCATTTTCGTTGAGCCTTTCTAACAACAAAATTCTTACTAGCAATTGCCTCAAAAAATGCAAGATAACATTGTTCAATATTGTGGCAGAATTCACCATCTTATGTACACTGCAAAGAAAAAAAATCTCATTCTACTGGGCCGATTAACGATATTCAACTTCCGTTTTGCATGTATCAAAAGCGCAACTTAGAATACATATTAGATTTATATACAGCATTGTTTTAATACAATACAAAGTCTGGAATCCAGATGTCCATTATCCAGAATGATCTACAATCTGGACCTCAAAGCCACAAACTTATTGCTCTTTATTTCATAAATTATGGTTCCATATTTTTAATTGTATAATTACTGCATGCCATCTTACCATATTTAAATTGGTGATGTATAATCCGGAATCGCCGAAGTCCCGATGAGTCTGAATTACGGACTTTGTACTGTATAGGTATTTTGACATAAAATCGAACTTTTTCTGAAACGATATACAAATTTTTTTCCATGTTCCGATTCTATGACTCAAATTATGCCAAGCTGCCAAGATTTGTAAAAATCACACTAGTAGGTTTTAAAAAATTAGTTCTCAAAATTTTACTTCCTCAATGTTAATTGAATTTGGTATGTATTTATTAACATCTCTTTTTTTTTTATTGCACTTACTCGATTCCTTCTTTCACAGTTCAAAATTTAAGTTCATTCCAAATAAAATTCACCAATTTTAAATAATTTTTGTAAATTTTATGAAAAAATTTTGCCATGTCAATATACCTTCAAAATTTTTAACATCATCTTAAAGTAGATGTATTTCTAAGTATACCTGCAAAATTAGAGCATTTTATTCAAAATTTTCCAAGATATATGTGAATTTATATACTGGCACGTTTTGAAATTTGGCATATTTGTGAAAAGCGATAATAACATCTAATGTGGTTTATGCACTTTGTTAAAATTATTTGAAAGTAGGAATGATGTGACTTTTTCCCTCTCATGCACAATGTAAAAAGGGAAAGGAAAATAGGTTGCCATAAATTAAGAAGTTTGCCAAGTGAATTATGTTTTGCGCAAACTTAAAAAAATATGCCAAGATAAATTTTTTAATTTCTCCGTAACTTTTGCACCACATTTTGCGAAATTTAATATATAGGCATAACTCAAGTATTAGAATCAAAATATGGAAAAAAATTGGCATGTTATTTCAGAAAAAGTCCAATTTTGTATCAAAATACCTATATTAAAACGAAGTTATATAAAAATCTAATATATATCTTATGTTGCATTTTTGAGATATGAAAAATGCAATTTGAATTTTGTTAATCAGCCCAGTACACAAAGAGATATAGAACTGTCCTTCCCCCCCTCGCAGTGTACATCAAATTACAAAAGGTGCATAACAAAATACTGTTTATTGCCATTAAAACAAGTTGATCAAAGAAGTAGCTATTCCCATATTAAATTTTGTAGGTACTTCCTTCACCATCTCAAGTGGCTTTGTGTTCTAGACAAAGACTTTTCTGTGATTGGAAAAATGTAACTTTCCAACTTGCGAGTGTAATAGCATCATTACTGATTCAGCTCTTCATCAATTTTACTCACACAATACTTTGCCTTCTTCCACTCCATTACTATGCCATGGAATAATGTTACGTGACTCAAAAATCGAGAATTTTTTCAACAATAAAAATAATTTTTAATAGTAAAATGTAGGAAAAGGGTATTTTGATCTAATAATTGATATCTGAAAGAGCAATCTCTACATTTTACATGCAGTTAGTGCAAAAATACTTATATATTAAAAAACATTTCTATTTGAAATCTAGTGTAGAAAAATATATTTTGTTAACATTAATAGCAGATATTTCTTTAAGGTACATAACATAGTTATTTTGTCAGTTCTCACTTAGGTCTGTTTTTGCTAATAAAAGCTTAAAACAACCTAAAGATAACCAACATATACATGGATACTTTTCTTATTCCAGTGTTATGCTATTGTTGAAACTGTTTCAGTTTTTCTTCCCTTTTAAAACTCTTTTTGGTGTAGTAATAAACAACAACAATAATAATTTTTTCATTTCTTTATATAGAAGTTGCATTTTTTTCAGCTGAAATTTAAAATGTGACATGACACCTTATAAACTTCAATTTCTTCTTTAAGTGTACTATAACTGCTACCCCACAAACTTCAATTTTTTTTCTAAGTCTACTATAACTGCTATGTAAAGAGCTAAACAGTTATCCTAGGGAACTCTGTTTACTTTGGAAGTTTTAATTAGGTGTGCTCTAAAGGCCTGTAATGTTTCCTTGCAAAGTGGCGACACAAAGTAAAGGATACTTTACTTCTAAAGTTACGGGATTAAAAAAAGTAACAAGTAAAATGTAGTTCTGCATTAGTGTTGTTGTTTATCATTTGTAGAAAAGAAAAAAAAAAAGTTTATTAGAGGGTGGAAAAAAGAATTGTTTTAATTCAGCAACTGAAGATTTTTCACTCCTACTTCAAAAATATTTATTCTTGTACAAGAATATTTGTAAGCAATTTTACTATTGGGAAACATTTTCTTAATTAAAACCACAATGTGATCAGAGGTATTCAGTGGTAGATTATGCTCAAATATAAAAGTACGAAATAGGATGCATTAATAAATTTTTGGTCCTTTGCTTCCAAAATAAAAATATTTTTTTAAATTATTTTTTCAATACAATCTATGTTGTCCTTGCATTTTTGTTTACATACATGTTTAAGTACATTGGCACTACCAGAAGGAGTAATCTAAAAACTGCAAACTTATTACATTTTCTTAAGAAGATTACTAAGAAAATCATCTGCACATATTTTTTGAAAAAATATTAATATTTAACTATTTATTTTTGCACATATATTACCAAGACTAAAAACTGCAAATCTTAAAAAAAAACTTAAACAATGAACCTCATACGATTTACTGACTTCAAATATGTAGAGGACTTATTTGATCTTGGTTTATGCTCATTGGTTATGTGTGACAGATGATTTGCAGTTGTGCTTGATGCCCACTGAATCGTGGCATTTTTGGACATATCTTATTCTCACATATATAGTGGTAAGGGATAAAAAAATTTTAGTTTAAAAAAGAGGTTAATGGACAAAAGAGAAAGACACCAGAAATTCCATTTTGGGGTGAACATAATGAAATATTAAGACAAGCAAATAAAAATAATAAGTAATTTTATGAACAAGAGAAAATGGAAGAAATGTGTTATAAATCACATTGGCAGGAGTGCAATTATCCATAGACTGGCAGATGTGCACTGTTTTATGAGAAAAGGGGATGTAATATTGTAGGCATGTGCACAACTTTTTATACTGTGTTGTAATAATGAAAAGAAATAAGGACCAAAATGCCTTACTAAAAATATACTCATTGTACATTTTTGCCATAAAAACTGAAGCATAGAAAATTATTTATAAATCATTCCTATTATTCAAAATACCTGAATACTTTTATTTCATTAAAATTAATATATGCATATAAATAAGAAAACAATTTTTAAAATAAAATTCTTTATTTGAAATAAATTATGCGAGAGCAATTTTTTGTTTGCTATAAACAAATTTAACATAGTAACTCAATTAAAAGATAACACAATAACTGAAATCTTAACTTAAATATATCACTGGATTACTGTTTTTCATTATTTTCAAAACAAATAAATATATATAACAATGTGTTTTATATGATGAATTATTTTATATATATTTTAAATTATACAAATACAAGTTAAATAATTATATTACATTTAAAATAAATATTTTCCATCTAAATAGTAACGTTAAAACTTAATAATTCATGTGATATCATTTAGATGTAAATATATGTTTATTTTGAAATATTGAAGAATATCACAATTAAGTTGACCATGCCCACATAGGCATAATCTATCATTTTGTTCCATGAATATCTATACATAAATTCTTAATCATATTCTAAATACTTTTATTAAAAAATTTGATACTAGAGTAAAAAGAAATTACTTAGTATTAGAAAGTATTTTTTTCTGTTCATTATCAGGAAAAATATGTAGTAGTAATTCCTTATGTAAGCAAATTATTTCAAAATTTCTTTACACACAAAATATTCATTATATGCTATATTAACATGAAATGCAATAAATTACACAAATATTTTAAATAAATTAAAAATTTTCAGATATTTTACATTGTTAAAAATAATTGCCCAGTGTTTCAATTAATGGAGAATTTTAATAGTTCTTTGTGCAAGACTACTCTAGTTCTTAATGAGATACTAATAGCATTCCTCCTGAAGATTAATCAGATTCAGTTCATTATGATATATTATAATTTAATAATTCATCTTATGAAATTAGTTTTAAAATTAAGTTTATATCAACAGTTATGAGCAATTAAATTAATTTTATGCTATTTAAATTATTATTATACTTGTAATTTAACATTTCAAATTATATATATACATGAAGTATATTTGGAATATATATTAATCTCAATATTTTATTTTGAATCAGACTTTAAAATAGCCTTTTATTATATATATTACCGGCAAAGTTTGAAATTTGGCATTGTATATAATGCCTAAAACTTGCCAGCAATGTATGAAACAATTTGTACCATCTTTTTCTGAAAATAAGACATCCTCCAAAAATAAGCCCTATCGTGATTTTCAAAACTTTTTGTAAAATAAGACATCCTCCGAAAATAAGCCCTATCGTGATTTTCAAAACTTTTGTAGTATAATTTGTTTTTGTATATAATTCAGAATTTTATTTATGACGATGTTCCAGAAGAAGATGACATGACTGTAATTGAATAAATTTTAAATTTCTGTATTCTGTGTAAAATAAATATTAAATAAAAATATATAAATATACTTTTATTTTTGCAGTTGCCCGAAAATAAGCCCTAGCGCTTATTTTGGACCAAAAAAGAAAGTAAGACAGTGTCTTATTTTCGGAAAAAGACGGTATTTCATACATTGGCAAACCGGCAAAGTATGAAATACATTTCCGATTCAGTTCAAAGAATCAAACTGTTTACCAGAAGTTAATAAATCATGTAAAAAAGCCAAAATGACTAACTAAGAAGAAACCACAGGATTACTGGCTGCTGAATCGCTAGCATGTGTTGTTTGTGGAAAACAAAACTACATTCTTTATCCTGTTAAAGAAAGAGTCAATACTATACAGTATTACATCACAGAAACCAAGTTATTTTCTGTATTTCATGAAAACTCATTTGAGTACTCCACACAGACGACAAGACAGAATGTTGAAAGAATTTTCAACCAAATACAAAAACGTAACACCTAATGATATTAAACTGTACAACCACCTTAGTGAGCTCTGTCAGAAGAAATAAAAATGTTTTAAAAATGGCATTGTTGTAAAACTTATGATTGTTTCTGAATTTATTTCCATTGTCAGGTAGATCTGATTCCAGCTGCAGCCAGATAGAAAATACAAATTTTTATTATGTTGTATCAAAATATTTTGAATAACAATTTTTAATGGCACTTTTTCATTAATTTTTCAAAATAACATTTGTATTTTTGAGGAATGAACTTCTTTTGAATAATAGCCTTATCATAATCTTTTTTTCATACTTCGCCTAAACAGCATTTGTTATTCTATAGAATGCCTAGGAAAAGTATGTAATAATTCTCATATTTCATATTTTGCCTAAAATCGTCTGGCATTATATACAATGCCTAAGCATTCTATAGAATACTGGCTTTTCATACTTTGTCAGTAACATATATTGTGATTCTTGGTTTGAGGTTATAACTTCACGCATGATTTTATAAATTTTACTACTATTATGAAATGTGGAAGTACTTGTTATATTATCAAATGATTCAAATACTATATATAAGTAATTAATAAATTGCATAGTGTATCTAAAATGATAAAATTATTTCATACAGTTTTCTATATAATCCTTGATTTCATGTACATAAAAATAATATTTTTCTATAATATACTTCCTTCCTCCATATCATAATAAAATTATAATTCAACAGTTTTACAGATTTTTCCTCCTTAATATATTACAAAAGTATAAAACAATACTGGCATGAGAAAATATTATTTGTCTGTACAAAAATGAAATGCAAAATGTAGGTAAATTCCAGCTAAATGCATAAATAGAATATTCAATGCTAATTCCTCACTCATTTCATATAATTATTGCATGATTAAATAAATTTGAGCACTATCGTATATATACGATGCATATCATGAAAATTTCATATTTTTAACCCTTAAGTAGATTAAGGCCACAACCACAGATACTTTAGAAATTAATAATTTTGTTTTATAAAAAATTCTACATTGTTCAGGATCCCAAAATTTCAGTAGTTTCTTCAATTGGTTTAAATTTATATGTACCTCGGCCATCCATGTACAAGGTATACTGAAATGAATACATATATTTTAAAATTTGAAAGGAAACATGAAGAATTTTCAAAATATATGATAATCTTAATATAATAAAAATATTTTTCATTAAAATGCAAAACAAATTATCAAACAGCATTACAAATCAAGTTCTCCAAATTCATGTAAATATCAATTTTACATCAGATATACTTGGTAATATATAATTTACAAATACACTCAGTTGGAAGGAGAAAAACACAACAAGAAAAAGCATGGGTCATGATGAAGTTAATCAATAGGAGGAGACAATGAGGAAAACATAAGAATAATTATAAACTCAGTAATATCATCTGTTAAGCAAAAGTGGTTCAGGATCGTTACAGATGGCATACGGTCACTTTAGGCATCAATGCATAGAGAAATGTCAGATGGTTTGCCACACAAACCATCTGATAATGTCCTGCCAGTTAAGGTGTGATTGCATAGGCAGGTCAGAAACATTTGGCAATGGCTGCCACCAGTGGCCAAATGCATTCAATGGGGTGAAAGATCAGATAGTTGTCATGTGGCGAAGAAAGTCTATAGTGATGTATGTTGCATGCAGACAGGCACTTTCATGTTGAAAAATAGCTCCTGTTAGGCCTGACAACGTAGGTACTACAATCAGGGTTCGTACGGTCCTTAAAAGTCCTCAGATTTTTTGGAATCAATTTTTGGTTCTTAAAAAGTCCTTAATTTTGGCCAAAATCAGTAGAAGGTCTTTAATTTTAATCATCTGAAATTTCTGTCTGTTTTTACAACTGTCATTTTGAGGAATATTTTTGTTGATTCACTGCTGTATATATGGTTATCTTTTGAATGTGTTCATGAGTTATAATTTTTTTCTATTTCTAATATAAATGATGGGATACTCGAGTTTCTAAGCAAGAAGTGAAACATAAGCATTTCGAAATTCATTTTTTCTAATAAAGAGCTCTTAAACAAGTTTTTGCTTTTGGGAATGTGAATTCTTTTATTAAATGGTTCTAAATTTGGCAACTTTTCAACATTTTGGCGATTTTAAGATTAGTTTATATAGAAACTTTTTAATTCAGAGATCTGAGAATTTTTCGACGATTTTTTTTAAACATCGTAACATTAATAAATTTCATTAAAATAACGGTAATATATTGAAATTATATTTAAAATATAAGGCATTTTTATTTTTCGCTGTAATATTATAAAGTTTCGTTTTGGCAACTTATTAAACAATATTTTAAATCTGAAAAATGAACAAGGTATAATGCTATAAAGCACAATTTACTAAACAGCTGTTAGCAAAACCAAAATTAGCTATGTAATTAATTAAAAATGTCTTGTTTTTAATTTTTTCATAGTAAGAGTTTTTCCCATGTAATTGTCTCAGAATGTGCATCAGTTTTCTCTATAAAATTAATTTTATACTTTTTCCGTCCTATTTTTTACCAAAATATTTCTGGCTTTTTGCTGTTACAGAATTGGTAGGGGTAATTTTTCTTTAGGATTTTAGAGATTGCAGCTTGGAAAGTTTAGAAGGATTGGCTCTAGTGTAGAATTGGGTGCCCCTTCGATTAGCGACAATTTTTTTTTTTTTTTTTTTTTTAAATTTTGGTGGTGAAACCTCACTTCTGGTTACCATGATAGTTTTAACTTTGGTTTAGCTTCCTGATTTTATTTAAATGAAAATAGATTGACGTGTATGTGAGCAAATTTAATGCAGTGCGCAATGCCTAGTTTGTGCAATTCTAGGATGTTTTTTTAGTGAAAACAGATCGATGTGTACATGGACACAATGTTTGTGCAATTCTTTGACATTTTGGTTTTTATTTTGGTTTTGTGTAGCGGCCATCTTCAAATTGTGCCTTCCTGGCGCCGATCTTCGCATCACAAGAGAATCGCCAAAAACAAGGGTCACCCAATTGTAAACTTTTACCGAAGGATTTGAAGACAAGATTTATAGACCCTCGATTATAGAAGATTCGAGAAATATATGACAAAATGAAAAATGTCTCCATGGTATCAACGCGCAATGGATGTATTTTACAGAAAGTTTGCAATGAATTTCTTAATTTTTGGAGAACATCTGGAAGAACAATGAAAACATAATATTTAAATGTTTTACTTCTGATACTAGAATCTTAACATATTTATCTTCTTTATTTCTCTAACTTTTCACTAGACAGAAGCATGGAAAATATCAAAAATGCTTCTGATCTTCACATGGCAGGCATTATGAAGGGATTTTTTTTCGTTAATAAAGAAAATTGAAAACTTACAATTTAAAGCTTTGTCTAATATTTCTTCATGCATATACACATAGCTGGCACTAAGAGCATTTAACTGATGCAATCTCTGTGATCTAATTCGTTGCCTAGTGCCTTTCTATATCCGCTTTCAGTGGCTGCTCTAAATTCTAAAAGTTTGCCATTTCTTTTTTTGTTGTTCGGTGTGTCACTAAATTCTAGGTCCACATAGAACCGGCGCATATATATTTCATATGCTTGAATGTTCATATTAAAAGAAATAAAATTAGCCGCTTTTTCTACATTCTAAGCATTTAGTGTTTTTTTAGATACAGAAATCCTTAATTAAATCCAATTTTAAAATGAAAAGGAAATGTGTTGAAAAAGAACTGAATACATAAAGGAAATGATTCTTTCAAAGATATGTGCAGTATTATTATGTAATTACCCAATTTTTGTTTATAATTTCAACCTTACTATAATGCCCATTTCTGTTATCTTCTTCATGATGAGGGGCCAGATTACAAGAATAATTGTAATAATCTTTGACCATCCCAATTATAGTTTGAATACTTTCTGAATTTAGAGCCAATGATTTGAAGACATGCAATGCCTTTAGATTATACCTGAGTGGTATGGAAAATACTAGCTTCGGATCATATTTGCAAAGGAAAAAAAAATCATTAAACCCCAGGCACACTCCCAAAAATATACGTATAATTTTGGTGAAATAAGGGTATGGTATTTTTTGCACGTTACTTTTACGAAATTTATACGAATGAAAAAGGCTGAAGTTACTGTTGACTCTTGATCGTTATTTTCCACACGTTATTTTTACGAAAATTATACGAATCCGAATGTACTGATAAAACTACCGCCATGATGGTATATTTTATTCGTCACTTTTACGCATATTATACGAATCCGAATGTTCTGAAAGAAACTACTACTGCCTTTATGGTATATTTCATTCGTCACTTTTACGGATATTATACGAAGTCTAAAAAGATTGAAAATGAAGTTTATTAATTCAAAATATTTAGTGTATTTCTGGCATTTCACTTTGTTTTTTTCCTTGTCCACGAACATGAAAAAAGGGGCATTCATATATGAGGCTAAAATTTTTCTATAAATTTTAACATGTGAGCTAAATCTTTACGTGCATTTTTGCAAAAAATTATATTTTCTTAATTCAAACATCTTCAAAATAACTTATTTATTTTCTTATATCAAATTTGTTATTTTTATTCATATCAACACTTACATTAATTTACACAATTTAATTTCTTTTATGAAAATCCTATTACCCATTTAACTGGAATAAGCTGTATATTAAATTTGTGTACTTACTGAGTTTGGTACAATACTCGCCTTATTTTATTTAGCAAATGTGGGCAATTAAATTGGAATAAGACTAGCAAATCTTTCATGTCGAGGAATAGAATAATAAATACAGCAGAAGATGCTCGAAAACGTTTAACTTCTTGAACAATAGTTTAATGTAGACCAAAGGATCATTAATTATAATCAAAGATATACTAATATTTTTATTTAATAATAATAATAATAACTCTACTACGAAATTGCAAGCTGAATCCTGATATTTTACATATATTTCAGTTCCTTTAATCTTTGTTATAAAAATCATATGAGGCTAATTTTTTTTAAATTTTGTTTAATGTACGGAAAAAATGATATAGCGATTTTAATAATTTTTATATGAGGAAAAAATTAATAAATAATGTAAATAAATAATTATATTATATTTTATATTTTTCCTGAAACAGTTAAAGACATTCTTAATATGGAGATCTACAGAATAAGTACAAGGGTCCAGTTAAATGAACTCAAAATTTGCATAGTTAATTTTACGCTAACTTATAAAAATTAACCGGATTTACGATTATACACTGAGCATGCGCATACACAGACATTTCTATTTTTCGTAGAAAAATTTAATTATTACCTTAATACAGAGATGCTGTGAATATAAATTTATATAATGCAAAAGTAAGTTTATTTCATATGCTAATTTAGAGGCTTTCTTAATATGTTTAATTATAAAGAAAAAAAAAAAAGCGTTGCAATTCTTGTTCACTGACCAATGGCAAAGCAGACACTTTCTTTCTACTTCCGGTTGTGGCGGGATATTTGTGAAGTCAGCACTCAGCAATGGCGGTCGAAAAGAATGGTAAAGTCGCAAAGAATACTGTTTGTTCGTGGATTGGCGTTTGTGACTGAATCCATCGAAGTTACTAATTATTTGAAGAAAGTAAGTGAATATTTTATATTTTCAGTGTTTAATACTCGTACTTTCTTCACCTATATAAAATTTTATAAATAGCGTCTGTGTAGGAAATGTGATTTTCCATGTGTTGTTCTTTTGTGTACGTGCCTAATGATTCATTTTCAGGATTTGGTACTGTTAAATTTTGCACTAGTCTGTTTCTTACTGTTTGTGTCACTCCTTTTTTTGTATGTGTCTCACCTTTTTATAGTTATATTATTTTTACTCAAACGTTTTAATATTTATCTTAAAGCATACTGTAATTAAGCAGGAAATAGCTTTTAATGGAAAAAGAAAGGCAATATTAACATGACTAATTGTTCAGAAATCTGTTATGGAAATTTATCGCCAAAAAATAAAGCATGTAACTTTCATTTATTTATGAAATTCAAAATTTTTATTTGCTTAGTGTTTTCCCTAAAAATAATTTAATTTCTTATTTTTGAATTTAGTTTTATAAATAATTTGCTTTAATATATAATCTTT